TTTGAATAAAATAAAATAAAATAAAATAAAATAAAATAAAATAAAATAAAATAAAATAAAATAAAATAAAATAAAATAAAATAAAATAAAACCACTGTACTGTGATAGACAGGAAAGGCAGAGGTTGGGAAATGTAAACCATTTCCTTTCCTGACCCAGCTCACTCCTGCCTCAGCATTTTTGGCTTGTGCATCATTGGTGTCTGCAACCTGAATCCTGTGATCCAGAAACAGCCCAATCCCAGCTCTCCCAGTTATCCCCTGCAATTTTGGGAATGTTGTTTTGTTGCAGCTCCACTTGTCCTCCCTGCAAACAGAGCTGACCTTGACAGCAGAGAACTCACCTGAAGATTAACAAATGTATTAATACAATATTAATGTATAAAATGAAAACATGGATGATTTTTAAATCTTTACATCCTCCTCATCATTCCCATTCTTCCCTAAATCCCAAGTTTCACTGCTCCACGAAAACTAAACTTTCTATATCTGAGTACATCTACAGTGTGTGTATATATATGTGTATGTATATAAATATATGTATCCACAGGGCTGGAATTAGCTTGGTTTTCCACAGTTCTCTCCCAAGGACAGCGAAAAGCTGGATCATTACGCTTTGCCCTTTCCTTTTGGCTGTCTCCAGCCCATCAGTATTGCTTAGGAAAGACCACACAGAAGGCACAGCAAACAAAGCCACTCCTCACTGCAAACCACCACCTACTGTCACTCCTCTTTAAAAGGAGGTGGAATCACCCGTGGCCTCTGGCTCCGTAATTCCAGTACCCAAGGGCTCATCTGACTTGGCCTGGCTGCTTTCCTGGGACACCTTTTTCCTTGTTTTCATTCCTTTCCTGTTGGTGTCAGAGCTCTGAGTCTCAGTCTCAGGGGACGTGGCAGTTTTCCCAGACACGGCACTACCTGAGCTTTTTGTCCCTGTGGTACCTTTGGAAGTTGCACTGATTTCACTGTCTAGGCAAGAAGATTCATTCTTACTGGTAGTGTCCTCTCTGTCACTGTCCTCTGGATCAACCTCTTCCTCACTTTCCTCCTCGCTGTCCTCACCAGGAGCAGCTGAGTGTCCTCCCTTGCCCTTTCCAGCAGCTTTTGCATCGGCAGTTTTAGAAACTGCCTTGTTTGAGTTATCTGCTCTCTCCTCTTCCTCTTCTTCTGACACCTCTTCTATGGTGTCCTCTATTTCCACACTGGCAGAGGAGGTTTTGCTCTTGTAGCTGGATCCTGAGGTTTTCTTGTAGCTCGTATCCCTGTCACTACCTGAGGCAGTGGAGCTCACGGATTTCTGGCTGGAGCGTTTGCCACGGGAGCTGCCTGCCCTGCTTTTTACACTGGACATTTCTGTGCTTCTCCTGCTGCTGGACTCACTGGTCCCTGACCTGCTGTAGGAGCTCCGTGTGGATGAGCTCTTGGACAGGCTGCCATCCTCATCGCTCTCAGAGTCTTCCTCATCATTATCCTCTTCCGATGAGTCCTCCTCTGACTCACTGCTGGAGCTGGATTCAGAGTCCTCATCAGAATCCTCCAAATCCCCAGTTTCCTCATCCGAGTCCACGGTGCTTTCTGTGGCCTCATCCTGATCCAGGGTTATTTTCAAGTAGTCTTTGTCTTCTGACTCGGAGCCGGAGCTGCTGCTCTTCTCAGAGGACTCATCCGAGGTGCGCCTCCTCCTCTTCTTCCTCCTCTTCTCATAGTCACTGTCCTCCTGCTCACTCTCTGCCGTGATACTGATTGAAACTCCTGACTTGGCTTCATCCCTTTCAGACCCTTCCTCTCCACGTGCCAAATCCTTGCCAAGGCCCTCCTGGAATTTTCTGGAGACGCTGATGCGCTTCAACACGTGGTTTAGTTTTCTCATGGAGGGCCTGTCATCCGTGGATTTCTGGAAGTAGCTTCCCCTGATCATCATGGGTTTGTCCCCGTCTGCTTGGCGAGCTGACAGCAGCTTGGCATAGCTGGAATCTTTCCTGCCTTTTACTTTCTGCAGGATCATTGGGAATATCTTTGCTTTCTTCCACCGGGAACGGGCAGACTCAGCTCTTCCTACAGGTTTGTGGGCACTGACTGCCACGCGACTTAAATGCATCACTGCCTTTAGCCTCCTTTTTCCCTGGCTGCTCCTAAATCCTCTTCCAGGACCCTGGCTGAGATCCATCCCAACACCTACAGGTCTCCCTTCCATTTGAGGCCCTCTGCTGGGAGGGCCTCTGACTGGACTCATGCCCTGCAAATTATGAAAATTAATTGATTACCACTTGAAAGAGAGTTATTGTGAAAACCTGTACCTTAAAACAGGTTAAAAAAAGATGAAACATTTATTTCCCAGCATCAAAATGAACTTACCTGTCTTAGAACAGTTTTCTTACCAAAGTTATGGGAAACGTTTTTGAATTTTAGAGATTTAAAAAGTTCTAAAATAGGCTGGAAATGCACAACTACCTGACTCTGCAATGGAGAAAACAATGAAATGTTCTGTCTTCTCATTTAATAATGGATTAAGATTGGGCATTTATGAAAATTGGACATTTCTTTCTCAAAATAAACATTTACATTGACTGTCTTATTGCCACCAACATTTTAAATTTTTTTTAGATTTCATTGTCAACTTTAGGACAAATGAGTTCAGGTACTGTTTGGAAATCCATCATTTATAGGAAGAATAGTACTAATAGACTTGTACAGTCATGTGGTTTTAATTGGTAAGGACTTTAGAGCCCATCCAGTACCAATCCCCTGCCATGGGCAGGGACACCTTCCACTATCCCAGGCTGCTCCAAGCCCCAAAGTCCAACCTGGCCTTGGGCACTTCCAGGGGCAGCCCCAGCTGCTCTGGGCACCCTGTGCCAGGGCCTGCCCACCCTCCCAGGGAACAATTCCTTCCCAATATCCCGTCTAAATTTTCTCTTTTTCAGTCTTTAGCCATTCTTCTTGTCCTGTCACCCCAGTTCCTGCTGAAGAGTCCTCCAGCTCCCTTGTAGGCCCCTACAAATACTGGAAGGTTTCCTTATTTGGTAATGATAAAAAATGAAATTACCTAAGTGGATTTTTCTTTGAACAGATATGGATACTAACAGACACTTGGCAATTCTTTTTTGTGCCTAGAAAACAAAAGGAATTTAATGCTGACAAACTTTACGGGTCACCAGAAGGGCCAAAATGCTTAACACTGATCTATAAAAAACCCAGTTCTAATCAGTTCCAGTGCACAACTGATGAGGTTTGGTGGCCCTTCAAGCTGTTAAAAGGGACAGAATGATCCCTCCAGAGTTTGTTTCTTACCTCCTCTGCTGCTGGCCCATGGGGACTGTAGTAGTAGCCACCGTCACTCTCCACCACGACCTCGCCATACTCATCGTACATGCCCGACGGGGACAGCAGGCGCCGGCGGCTCCCGTACTGCGGCAGCTCGTACCTGCCAGAGACACCACAGCTCCTCAGGATGGGCCTAGACGTGCTCACACCTCTCATCACACAGCCAGCAGTGCACATGTTCACATCCAGAGGGATGGGAATGGCTTTCCTTGTTCTTCTCGCTCCTTTTTTTTCCCTTAGTGGCACCCAAATCCCAGACATCCTTCTGCTCCAACAGCCACAAGCCCCTTAGGGTAACCTGAATTTTGAGGTCTGTTGGATCAGTCAAGGGCCCTCTAAGTAGGGCCCACCTGATTTTTTTGGGGATCTTTCTTGATAATCATGGAATGAAAGAGCAGCTTCTCTGGGATCAGTTCTGGAGAATGGCAGCAGTAATTCCTGAAGAGCCTGCAGTCCAATGGGCTTTATCAGAACAAGGCAGGATGGGGTTTCCTGAGGGAAATTTAGAAAGCCACAAGGCAGAATAGTGTTTTTTGAGGGGAATTTAAAAGTCCAACAGCTGGCTGGAAACTGGGAGAAGAAAGGATTAATCCCTGAACTCACGAGGGGAGGAGGTGATGGAAATTAATCTCCCAGGAAGCAGAAATACACACACAAAGGATATAAACCCAGCATGAGGAACGGGATGTGCACTCTGTAAGTGGAATAATGACATTCCTGAAGAAGCAGGGAATTATCACACACCCCCCCTTAACCTCTGAAAAGAGTTTTGTTGTTGGTTCACGCCTTTGTGGACACAAAGATTAAAGTAATCCTGAGGTGAAGGGAAGTCCCACGATTAAGTGCTGGAATAATAAACATCACCAGCTTGGAAAAGCAGCACTTTGAGAAATAAAGAAGAAAAATGGAACTATACCCGTGCTCATAACTGTAGTAATCCTGGCCATAGTATTCCTGCCCTGGATCAATTCCAGACTCCATACTCAACTCCTGGAAAAGAGAAACACTGATTGAATGCAAACAGTGTGAAAAAGGCCCAAATGTAATTACTGATTTTATTATTCTTTATGATGTAATTACTTCTTCTGACTGCAGAAATGATCCCCATCCTGTAGCACAAAAATACCTACATCTCACATCTTTGCTCTGATTGCTTATTCTGGAAAAAATTTTGGGCCTAAAAGATTTGAAATAGAAAGATTTGCAATTGCACTGCACAGCAAGGTGCTAAAGCTTCCAGCACCAACTGCTCAGCTCAGCTCCAGCTGCAGTAATCCATCAGCAGCTGACTTACACATGGAAAAAGCAGATAGCAGTTGGAGAGCAATAGAACCATTGTGTCTGGAAATCTGAAACTGTGGGATGAAGCCGGTGGAAGCCACTGAAAGATAATCATGGGGAAAATCACAGATCCCAGAGTGGTTTGGAAGAGATCATAAAGCCCATCCAGTCCCACCTAGCCCAGGTTGCTCCAAGCCCCATCCAACCTGGCCTTGGAAGTACCAAGATGCAGTAAATTTAAGGTACTTAATTAAAGTAACATAACTAGGCTTACAATACCAGAACTTTTCTTTTTATCTAAGAACCAGGGGGGAAAATTACCTGAGAGAGACAAGTTCTTATTAAGAAATTATGTAAAAGCCACTTCAAAACTTATAGAACAATTAAGAAATTAAAAATGGTGGTACCTCTGGTCTGAGAAGAGAAGGTCTCAGCAATTGCTGCTGCTACAAAAGGAAATGAGAAAGTGGTTAATTAGGCAGCAACAATTAAAGTGCAGGTGATTGGTGTCTAAGATTAGTACTAAATGCTGAAACCATAGGTCCTTTGGAACTTTTTTATTGCAGGCAGCTGGATACTTCCATACCCTGTGAGAACACTGAGTACCTGACACAGTAAAATCCCTTCACAGTCCACCATTTCTTTTGCCTAAATATAAAATCAACTTCCCAGTTTTTGTGGTGAGTGTCTGACATATTTAACTCAAGAACTTCTACCAGAGGCCAAGAGAACTAAATCCTGTATTTAAATTTGGAGATACAAACCAGTTGTGCAGAGAGGAAAAAAACCAAAACCAGCAAATATCAACCTTTATGGTAGAAAAGTATTTTGGAGAACTTTCCAATTATTGAGATTGTACTGAAGGAAACTCTTTTCCCTGTTATTCATTTCTGGAAAAATGATACTTCAGGAGCAGCAAACCTCACAGAGCTGCAGGGAAGGTCCGTGGAGCCCCATCCCTGCCTGGCAGGTGATTGGGTGTGACACTGGAAAACACAGCGGGCATGGAGGGAATTCCCTGGGAAGCTGCTTCTGGCAGCTGCTTAAACAGCAATCTCCCAGCCTGGAGGTCACACTCCTGCCACAATGGATCTCAGTGCCCAGGGGATCTATGGCTCATAAACTTACTGAATCACTTTCAATCTCTGGTCTCTAAAGCATTCAGTACTCGTAAGTTCCACAACACACAATCCCAGAATGGTTTGGGTTGGGAGGGACCTTAAAACTCAGCTCATCCTACTCCCTGCCATGACAGGGACACTGTCCACTATCCCAGGGTGATCCAAGACCCATCCAGCCTGGCCTTGGACACTTCCAGGGATCCAGGGGCAGCCCCAGCTGCTCTGGGCACCCTGTGCCAGGACCCCACCACCCTCACAGTGAACAATTCCTTCCAAATATCCTACCTGAATTCCCCCTGTGTCAGTCTGAACACATTCCCTGTGTCCTGGCACCCCAGTTCCCGATGCAGAGTCCCTCTCCAGCTTCCCTGTATCCTTTCAGGCCCTGGAAGGAGCTGTGAGGTCTCCACACACCCTTCCCTTCTCCAGGCTGAGCAGCCCCAGCTCTCCCAGCCTGCTTCCATAGGGAAGGTGCTCCAGACCCCTCAGAAACTTCATGGTCTCCTCTGAACCTAGTCCAACAATTCCATGCCCTTCTTATTCTGGGAGAACCAGAACTGTGCACAGAATTCCACGTGGGGTCTCACAAGATCAGGGCAGAAGGAAAAGCACATTAGTATCATCAATATTTTAAAGGCAATTGGGCATTGGCCTTACCTCCTGCTGTGCATATCCTCGCCTGGAAGTCAGAAAAAGAAAATAAATAAATTAGTGTAATGCTGTGAGCCTGCACAAAGATGCCCATTGCCATTCTTGCTGGAGAGGGGTGAAAGAGTATGTAATTAGAAATATAATTAGCATGGAAAGAAATACATATCTCTAATACAAAATATGTTTTTCTTTGGGTTTGCTCTGGACACAGGGATTGTTGCATGGGAAAGGTTGGAGAAGCTTTGAGATCTTTCCTTGCTTTAGATTGTGAATGGATGAGGAGAAATCCCCAAGAGCCAGAGAGCCAGAGCATCCAGAGTGACTCAGCACAGGGAAAGGGGGATTGGGAGAGGCCCTGCCCCATCCCCTCCCCACCATCCACATAGGGACCCCATTCCCTCACATGTCTGCTCAAGCAGTGGAACAACCTTTCCTACTCCTGGACTTTCTGTATCCATCAGAAATTGCCCTGGAGCTTGCATTACTAATTTCTTGTACCAACATTATCATTCCAATTACACCTTTCCTAACATTTGCTTATTGGGAGGGGAGGTAGATGCCTTTTTTTTTTTTTTTTTTTGCTATCTGCAGTTATTTTGCCACAGGCTTTGTTCTTCTGATCTTATGGGGAATTTATTGTTGGTTTAATTCATTTTCTTAGAGCCATTCCTGGGCATGACCAATGTATTTATGTCTGTCAAGGTTTCTATTTCCACATTTTGTGGCCGAAAATTGAAATGGTTTCGTCAAAACTAGAGAACAAAAATTTAGACCTTGGAATTTTTCTTAAGGATGAGTCTGGATTATTTTTCTTATGGTTTTTAAGAAGGAAAGGGTAAATGCTCAAAATTATGTTAGGCTTAACCTAGCAGTCATGGGGAAGTCTTTAATTACACTAAATAAATAATAAAGATCAGAGAAATCCTTTTAATTCTTTAATATCCCCATCTCTAAATCTTCCTATTAATATTCAGCACATGGAATTGATTATCAGCATTGAATTAATGCTGTCGCCTATATAAGATAAACCTCATGGCCAGCTGAAATGAAGATTTATCATCCAAAGATGATCTGTGACTTTTCAAAGCCCACTTGAGGATTTAGTTTCCATATTGCCTACAACAATCTTCCTATAAAGGAGGTCTGAGGAGAAGGAAGTCTATTAGTCTTAATTGCACTATATTGCAGATTAAAGGCATAATACGAGTAATTCTAATGAAATTTGGAATTCAACTTTCATAAAAATAGCAGTGCGATGAGTTTTGCTGATACTTCTTGAATAGTTTTCTGTGGCCATGATTAGAAGGAACAAAAAGTCCCCAAAAGACATAAAATACCCATTCACTCACTACAGCACAAGGATCTATTCTGGCACAAAGACAAAGGTCAGGACAACATCATTTGTTTCCAGGAAGGAATTAAAGCTGTCCACAGAGGGAGGGATTGCTTCTGGGAAATGTTCTCAGCCGGACTTCACTGCAGTCTGGGAATCTTCTGTGTGAAATGGGAAGCGAGGCCATGGAGCCTGTGAGGATGTGGGGTAACTGGACAGCCAGAACATGGAGCTGGGACTTAAGGGGAGAGACAAAGCCAGAATGAACTCACATGGACAAGATGTGCCAACCTTTTACTGCTGAAAGGTTAGAGGAACTGGGATTTGCCTAAAGCAGCATTTCCCCAATTCCTTGCACCCCACCAGGCGTTTGCTCTCCATAACTTAAATCGGTTTTCATATCAAAAGCAGAATCATCACAAATCCCAAGTGCTACGTGTATTCCTCAGAGGGAGCAACTACTTATCAGTTTGCCCTCACTCCTAAAATGAAGACTTTTCCTCCAGTTCAGAGCTGGAACTGAGAACAAATTGGGAAGGAGAATGAGTAATGATAACACCATGGTTCAATTCCAGCTTTGCACAAAAGAGCTCTCCACTGATGCCATCTCTGCTCCTGCTCAGGACTTGGCCTCATCAAGCTGATGATGAAAGCATGAGAGATAAATACAGGGTCACAGGAGGAGGACCCCAACTGACCAAGTCAGACAGCCTGGGAGGGGTAAATAATATAAAAATATAAATTATTACAGATGTTCAACTTGCCACCAACTCCTACACTGGATCTAATCCTTTGTAGTGCTGCAGAACTGCAGTACCACAGAGTTGTCGAATGGGTTGGGTTGGAAAGGACCTTTATGCTCATCCTCTTCCACCTCCACCCACTTTCCACTCTCCCAGGCTGCTCCAAGCCCCAAAGTCCAAGCTGGCCTTGGACACTTCCAGGGATCCAGGGGCAGCCACAGCTTCTCTGGGCACCCTGTGCCAGGGCCTGCCCACCCTCTCAGGGAACAATTCCTTCCCATCTAAATCTCTTCTCTTTTTGTTTTAAACATTTTCCCCTGAAGCACCCAGATATCTCAATGGAACAGAATTTCCCTGGTACAGCTTCTTTCTCAGTCTAATAGAGCAATTTTTTAAACAAAACCTATTTCAAAAAGCCAGAAGGAGAAAAAATGTTGCATTATATCCAGACAAAATTAATCCAGTTTTGTAAAGTTTTCAACTTCATAAAGATTTCCAGAATGACAAAGTAAATGTTCCTCATCAGTGAAGAGTTGATTGTCATGACCCCCTCCTAGACTGTTCTGAAATGATGAAATTAAATATTTAAAGTGGAACTTCTCTGTGATGTCCACTCTTTCTGCTTAACGAATATCCCAATTAATTGTAGCAAAACTGAACCATTGGAGTTTATGCTGTGAATGACTAAACACCTCAATTTTTGCTATGTGACCTTACATACCACAAAATCAGGTCCTATTTGTGTCATATTTCACTGGGGATGTAAAGATCTGCACAACAGCAGCCGTTTACAAGCTCTAACATGGGACTTGGGTACTAAAATTTAAATTTCTGTCTTTGGGGTTGACCCACTCTGAACATGAGCAGCCCAATAATTTTTCATGCCCATCTCTGCTCTCTTCCCACTGTCCCCTCATCAGGAGTATGGGTGGAACACAGAGGGGTACATTTAAGTCATATTACCTCTCTGGCTCTTCAATCCTAAAAATTCTCCACCTAACAGGTGCTGAGCTTTGGGAATATTATTAAAACATTGCAGTTGTGCCATCTTTGGAGAACTGAGCATCAAAAATGTGCACATCTCATAAATGACACAGATTCTGTTACAGCAAAAATAGGACAACAGGATGATCCCTCCCCTCACACATTTAGCTACTCCTACAACTACCGTGATCCTACAACCTATCCCAACAAGAGTTTTAAATAAAGGAAAATTCTAATGGATCATCACAACTTGTGGGATGGAGTTCATGGAGTTTGCACTAGGAGAAAGAAAGAGAAACTACCTTGAGCAGTTTTTGACTGAAGCATCCACACATGTCCTAACGGCAGACTTAAAAAAACCCCAACAAACAAACAAAAAACAAAGAGAAAAGAGAAAAAGCCAAGCACCATGGAAATGATGAGTCTGATAAACAGTCTGATAAAAAATTAATTACCTTTTTGCTCTGAATTACAGCCTTGATACTGAACTGGAATTTTAGTTTTGCTTCATTAGGTAATTCCCAATATGGTTTTTCAATATTGTCATATTAAACTTTTTAGATTTTGGCAAAGGACTGAAAAGAAACTTGCAAGTTGAACCAAACATTTAAATGCCTAAACTGCTTTTACTTACCATTTTTTCAAAGGACAAGCTAATTTACTTTATATATACACATTTGTAATTTACATATTTATGTAAATGTAAAGATCTGATTTAGATGACTGCGAGCATAAAAGATGGTAAGTAAATCCACATTATGTGGGTTTTTACAAGTACTTGGAAACCCTTCACCTGGTGACACTAATCAGAATGACTTTATTACAATTTAATTGAGATGTTTCAGCTTGTGACAGACCAGCATGAAAATTAAAGAAAGAGAGCAACAACATGCGCATGCAAAATCATAAAAAACAAACAACAAATGCTTTGTACATGAAAGGAATTTACAAAATATAAACTTTTCACATGCAGTTACAATATAAAAAAGAAAATGCAATGGAAGGCAGAAGATGGAGAACAAGAGTGGGGACACAGCCACGTTTGCTGAGAAAATAGAGCAAACCCTTCCTCTGACTGGAGACAGGAACTGAGCTGCCACAAAATGTCAGCAGAGCAGAGCCCATGGAACAGGGAGATGCAGTATGGAATTATGGAATGCCTGGGTTGGAAGGGACCTTAAAGCTCATCCCATGGGCAGGGCCACCATCCCAGGTTTCTCAAGGCCCGTCCAATAACCCGGCTCACCGAAGCCGAGCCTGCTACTCCCAGGCCTTCCTTGCAAAGATGCTCAATATGTGGCAGAAGATTCCTTCCAGCTGAGGTGTTTTATGGGCAAAGCAAGAGATTCCAATCACAGCTGCAAAAAAATCTGACTGATGTTACCTACGGTGAAGGCTGCTTAAAGAAGTATTGAGCCTGCCACCATCTATGCCACATCCTTGGGTAAAAATGGACACTTTCCCCCAAGAACTTCCAGGAAACAGACTAAGAACCAGAAAGATGTAGTTCTGAGAAAAAGACTTGGAGAATTATATTCTACATCACAAATTTCTGAGTGAACAGGAAGGACAACGTCTCTCCATTTGGGATCGGGAGCGGGTAAGTTGTGTGCAGCAGAGAAAAGGGGGAAAGTCGGGATTTCTGGAGAGTCTGAGGCAGAAACTGTGTGCTGCATTAGAGTCCTCCCACTCAAAAAAAGCAGGGAACATCCACCCGTGAGCATTACAGAGCTGTCGATTGGGAGGGGAAGCGTTTCTCCAGCTCCTCCACAACGCAGCTCAAGTTCCCATTCTGCTGGTTGTGCTCAGCTGCGGCTTCTGGAGTTGGGAGCTCCGGGGTCGGGGCTGGTTTGGGCTTGGGGACGTGCTTGGGCAGCAGGTGGTTCTTGTCTATTTGGCTGTACATGTTGGCCACCGACTTCTCAATGGCAGCCAAATTCTGAATGTTTTTAAGAATTCCTTTAAGCT